GGCAGTTTTTTTCTATATATATAAACCTAGATTAGAAAACAAAAATAAAACAGTAAAATAAACTAGGGTTAATTTGAAATTATGAAGAGTAATAAAAACTTAAAGCACACTAAGAATAAAAATATATTGTTATCGATATTTTTCATTACGACATACCTGAAAACTAGTAATTTATTCAAATTTTTGAACTTAATTATGTAAATTTTAGGCATTGCTCCTGGCGTGTCGAATATTTTTATGCAATGAAAAAAACGACAAAATCAAAATAATCAACAAATTCAATGATAATTCGACAGGAAAAACAACAGATTGTGAGCGTGGCACTGAGAATAGCACTTTAACAAGCAATATCACCACATCCGATATGGAATCTTCGTCAATAAGTGCACTGAAGGCGATGCTCGCAACAGATAACATTCCAGAAGGTCAATTTTCTATCAGAAGGCAACACTGTTCCGTTGCGCAACCGCAATCTATACTGCAATACCCTACCACAGCGGATAATTTCTTCCGCTTTAATAGTTGTTACAATAATACGACAGAGCGTTATTTGCTGGCCATTCCTGAACTTGAAGTACGTTTTGTTCCGCTTTGGCTTTCCGCTAAGTAACATTTTTGTATGACCTTTGAAGGTTACAGCTCTACTGGGCCATAACTTTGAAACAAAGCTCTACGAGGTTTTTAGTTTAGAAATAATTTTTTGGAACAATATAGTAGTCATAACTGATAAAAACCAATTCAGTGACAATTTCTAAGTGCACGCCATTGTTAATTGAATGATAAAATTAGATTTATTGTAGTAAAATTAATTTTGAAGTACTTTGATCAAAATTTCTTTAAAGTTAATTAATCTTTAGACATTGTCATAAGAATGCTTAACGGCAAAATTAAGATAGCAGAATGATGTAAACTTTAGAAAAGTTTTTTAAAAGTTATACTCAAGTATTCTCGTACGTACGTGGGTTCTCAATCTTTCAAAAGTTTTTCCTCCCATTTTACGTAATCTTTTTTTGTCTGCTTGAGCAAATATCAAGTATTATATTACATTGCACCTCATAAGTGTTTGTTAACAAATCGGAATTTATAAGACCTAAACTTTGCAAACTTCGAGGCTTATTTACTTGCGTTGATGAAAATGGATTCTAAAAAATCTCTCGTGATTATTGAATACAAAGTCATTCAACAAATTACCGTTATTTTCAGTAAATAACTTTTATGTATGCATTGGCATTGTTTTTATTTTAAGTATGCATATTATTTGATTTAGAAAAGTACGTTGTTTCTCAATATGAAAGTTATTAATTAGCAGAATTAAGCATATAATCTAATTTTAAGGAAAACTGGTCGAATTTAAAGCAATATATCGTTAATTTTCTTAAGTTTCAAGTGTATATCCCTGCAGTTAATTAATAAGAAATAATCAAAATAATTAAAGTAATTACTTTTTAAAGAAAAGTATTGTGAACTGAAGAATCATTTTCCTGTAAACCGTTATTGATTTGTTTATTAAAAAATTACCAGAATTTGATCATAGATTTAGTGCCATTGGGGCTAATATTTTTTTAGCTTTTACACACGAACAGTAATAATTATTGAATTGCTTTTGTTATAATTATTATTTTTTGTTATTAAATTAGTCTCATAATTAATTTAAAAATTTGAAATAATACTTAATTCAATCATTTTCAATGTACCTTATTATATGTTAATGAATCGTAAGTTTCAGCATAAAAAGTCCATGAACAACAGTTTTACTGGAATAATTACCTAAATATAATAAGTAGAAAAACTGATAACTGAAGGATAAAGTAGAAAAAAGCACTAAATAGTTTACTGAAAGTATAATATATTTGTAAAACAGCACTGATTTGTCGTTGGCTATTTTATTAAGTCTTAAAATCAGTAAATTTGGTAATATTCCGAATAGGTAGTAATATTTACGGAGAGATTATTGGTGAACATTGCTAAAGGTAGCTGAACTGCACCTTAAAAATGTTATACTTCCAAGAGTTAAGTTTATTCGAAGTCACTTCCAGATCAATTTTAAAATTTCCACCATTACTGTTGTTATTTACATTCATTTCAACGAAAGGGAAACATTTATTTGAAAATTTGACATTTTTGGAGACATATTAGAATCAATGATGTGACTGATAGTCAACATATATGGTAACTTGTTTCTGGTACGTGTTGTCCCACACCGTTCAAGTTTTGAAACGAGTTTTTATACTTCATATGATACTGGCACGAGTTAAAATAAAAAACAACCAAGCTACCTTTATCAAAATTATTTAATTACACTTCATAATGAAAATCAAAAGTCTATTTCCGTTTACTATTCCATCCGTTTGATTTGATAATTTTTAGCAGAACGATTGCATTTATCGCATTATGAGTAATTATTTAATACATAACTTCACTGTAAATGAGGCCTAAACTTGATAAATTCATTTCAGAGAGCAACAAAATTACAAAAGCTCTACAAATTTAGCTAATGAATATTGTAATTATAAGAATATGCAGTAATTTTTGTACATATATTTCTGTAAGTTTATTCCTTTAGTTACAAATAAGCAATTTTTTGTATTTTAGTAATTTGTAAATATTTGATGAATTTTTCCTATTGTATTTATTCAAAATTTGTATTCACTCATATTTTATTTATTTTAGAACTTTGTTATATTTGCACTTTTACTGAACTGAAATTACTTTTATTAAAGTATTAATATTAAAAATTATTAGTATAAAAAAATTAACGTGCAAGATTTTTCAGAACAAATTCAGCAAATTATCTTTACTTCCTTTTGTAATTATAACATTTAATATTTACTTATCTAACTCCCTTATAATATCTATCATTGAGCGTACAATCAGTAATATATTATTATGTTTACACTGAGCTGAATTCCTTGAGCAAATTTATACTGTCCATCGCAGCAATAAGCAAACAATTTCGGTCCTTAACAGTTCAAATAAAATACATTTGTAATACTTTCACTCTGGTTAATGATAATTATCAATTATCACCACAACTAATTCATCAAAAGATAAAACACGTCTGCTTACTAAGCATTACCGCTTTTATACCAAATCACATCGGATAACTGATCATTATCATTAATCTACTACTAAGTCACACTGGATCATTATCAATTATCTAGCAAACCTATCACTTACTTTGTATTTTTTTTTAAAATTTTCATTTTTAAAACTAAAAACTTCATTTTTCGTTGCAAATAATAAATAATAATGAACTGATCTCTCTTTATGCTTTTCAAAAATGAACTACAGCGTTTTTACATTCTCAAATAATGGATGAGTGATTTTCAGCAAAGCACAAAGTTCAACTTATCAATTTTTGAAGACTATCAATTAAGTTTTCATATTTTTTCTAAATAATAAAATTATTATGCATAAATTATAAAACTGTCTCTGCAGTTAGTCAAGACAAAAATTAATAATTTAAGTCAATTTCAGTAATTTAATTCAATTTAATTAAATCTGAAGTTATATTGACGATTAATTGCGATTGCTAATTTGAATAATTTCAGCACAGCACAAAGTATAATTTACTTATTAACTAATTAAATTTTTTCCGAAATCTCTCAAAGGATTTAATTTTGAAAGCTTAAAAAGGCAATTTAGAATAATTAATTATATTTGAGTTTTTTTTTATCGAAAAAGACTGTTGCTCATCTAAAAACTGAACTGTTCGGAGCAAGTAATACAGCGCCAAATAAATTGATAGGCATGAGCAAACAGCCTTTAAATTGGATGAATGAATGAATGAATGAATGAATCAGCGAATGAATGAATGGATGAATGAATACTTTTATTATATTTCTTCTGCTCACAAATCCTCCTATTTAGATTAAATATTTGAATAATGAATAATTATTCGACAAGGCAACTTTTGCAGACTAAGAATGCAACGTTCACATACAAAAATTAGCTTCACTTTATTACTTTTCTTAGATAACCGCAAAAATTTCACGTTTTTCAGATATCTTACAAATGGTTGACGTGTCTGACTTTTGCTTGCATTTTAGTAATTTAATTACCATTGAACAGCATTAAATACATTATTATGTATTGATATCAATGCGGACTTTTTGGTTGAAATTTTTAGCTCAGCTACGTACAGTAATAAAGTAATTAATAGTAATTGCACAATGTTATTAGTTTGTTCCTATGACATTGAAACTTTAAAGTATTTGACATTGAGCTGATCTTGATGACAGGTAAACAAACTTGGGCTTATTGCTATTTGTTACTTACAGTTGAAAATAAACAATAATCAAAAGTAGATTTGAGTATCATCGCTCATTGAAAGTAAAACGTTGGAAACAGTTAGGGACTGACTGACCTTTCATATCTTAATGGCCTTGTGAAGGTCAAATTTATACAGAAATGAATAATTAGGATGCCTGACTTTATGTGTTACCTTGGTGATTTAACTTAGGTCTTGACCTTTTTGTACTTTCATGTGAGTACATTTTTTAGGAGGAAAGCGAAGAATCCAATAGCAGTCGTTGTTCATCATCACTTCGTGCTCCAACCGCTATACCTAATATTTGCTCTAATTCAGGAACATTTGTGTCACATTCAGATCAACTCAGAGATATCGATCCAATCATATCAACTGTTTCACCTGACCCCAATCGAAATGACACGACATTTGTTTGCAGTCAGAGTGTAAATAACGCAGAGTTATCGTTACCATTTAAGTCAGCAACAGCGGAAGCACTTTTAAGAAGCAAAGGTGTGCTAACAAGCAACATATTTGCGCACCCTTTGACCTTACCACCTGCTCCATCTTCACCTCCAGCTGTATCTGTACCTGCAATTGTACCTGTACCCGCACGCGCACTTGTACCTGAATCTGTATCTATCCCTATACGAACTTTTCCATTAATAGCGAATTCGTGCCAGGTGCCACATACCAATTCCACATTTCCCTCTTTACTGACATCTGTACAGCAGCATCTTACCTTCGATATTCCAGGTCAGGACGTAAATATGTGGAGCTTACTACTAACTCACTCACTATTTAAATTTACTTACACGTAAAATTTGTAATCAATTTTGGATTTTTTTACAACCTCAATTTAACGTTTTTATGTAAAACTTTGTTGTAAAAATATGTATGAAACATTTCTTGCAATGATTTTTTCATTCATTCATTTTATAATTTCAGATTTACGTGCGATTGACTCAGAAGATACCGATAGTAGTTGCCAGACAACACCGGAAAACTTGCGTCACGCACCAGCAAATACAATCAATCAGAGTACTGACTGCAATACCAATGAAAGTGAAAACATTACTTACTTTTTGGTAAACTTTTTTATTTTCATTTTCATTCGATTAGATTTATATTTTTATTGATTAATCAATGCTTGAATAGTTTTTGCGCAGATCGAAAATTGATCATTCGTTTTGCTATTCTGAAACCAGTTTTTGAATATGACATTGATTAATTTTGCAGCGAGGTAAGAAACTATTCTTCTACCCCATATGGTCGATACTAATTTTCACCAGCATTTTTTAGAATTTTCAGTCATTATTGATAAAAATTATAATAAATACATGTTGATAACAGTACACAATTTACGTTCTTTTGTATCTTTGATATGATAAGGGATTAGTTATGTTATATTCTAAAAATTATTTTAGTATTAACCAGTTTAAAATCAAGTTGTCGTGTTGTAATTGATATTGATAGGTGAGATCATACTTAAATGACCATTGACCGAAGATAATAACTTGTGTGCTACTTTTTTAGCTGGCTTAACTCAGCACATTATATTAACTAAACATGTTAAGACTTAATAATCTGTCAGTGAAAACAATAATTTCATGCTTGGATAATTCCGTGGGAAAGTATTTCCAGTGGTCAAATTAATTAGACAAAATTCTGTTATAAAGAACTCCAAAATAAGCTCATTGTGTTTTGCACGCATTTTAATTTCAAAGTAAGTATAAGTTGAACATCGATGGTATTGGCATTTTGGTTATCATAAAGTTACAATATTTGTGAAAATGAGATAAAATGCGAATTGTTTAGGAATTATTTAGAATATTTAGAAATTTTTTCAGATAACTATAAGCTAATCAAAGTTTTTACTAGAATGGTAATTAAATGTGTACCAGAATTCTATCAGTTTTCAATTTCAATCAGTTAAAAGTTAGCTCAAAAAAAAAGTTGATTCGTATCACAAAGTCTCCTTTATCCTTAATCCGTTTTAATTATGCTAGATCGAACTCTAAATGGCTTTAGCCGACAGAACTTAAAATTACAATAGATATGATGTTAAGTTGGGTTTATGAATAAAAATATGCGATTTGTTTTTGATGGGCCTTCAAAAATTATTAACTACATAAATGTCACTTGATCCGTTTCACAGGGTTTACTTTTTGATTAATATGGAAGTGATCTCAATTTAAAATTGAAAGTTTAGACAGACACAAATGAATAATTTTAGATATTATAATTATTAAAATTGAATTTTTTAAATTTCTTTTTATTCTAGTCTTTTTTTTGAATCTCGCCCTTTCCTTTGAATTCTGATTCTTATCTCCTAGTTCAGTTCTTCAAATTCATTCAATTATCTCTACTTTTTATGACATATTTGCAGAGTTTTCATTTGATGAGCTTACTCGAGCAGTTATTCGTCTACTTGATATCTATCTATAAATAAGATTTGTTTTAAAATCACACGCTAAATAAGTTGTTTTTTGCCGGAAAAATTTGTTCAAATAGTCTTAACTTCAATACTGA